CCTAAATCCCCCCCCCCAAAAAAAAACACAACCCAAACAAACTCCAAACAAAAACGCCATGCTTGTGTCAAGCTGCACGAAAGCTCACAATAAATAATTGCTCTAAAAATAACATAAACCTAAAAATAATTTCTCCGATTCCATCTCACCTGCGTAGTCGACCTTTCCGTCGCTGTTGAGATCTGCCTCTTTAATCATTTCCCGGGCTTCGTTCTGAAAATAAGAGAAAAAAAATGAGCTAGATAACTCACACCCAAGGAGGTTAAAGGTTGTTTTAAGCTCCTTGCTCACACCTCAGGTGAATATTTTTCCCAAACTAAGGCTGTAGACTACTGGGTTGACAATGCCAATCTCAGGTTAAAATTCTTAAATATTACTCCTTCAGTTAGGCGCAAAGTTTAGGTGTTTTCAGCCAGGATGGGAGGACTTCCGTAACGACCGACCACTATACAGAGTAGAATAGAAAGTTTGGGTTAGGGTTAGGGTTTGGGGTAGGGCTGTCCCAGCCGTTTTATGGAGAAAAAAAAATCGGGAAAAATCTGAAATTGTGCAAACTGGGCCCAAAATTGTGAAATTATGCGATTCTGTTAATTTTAACAAAGAATGATAAAGGAAAATAATCAGAAATTATGCAAAAAGTTACCAAATTTCGCTAAATTATGCGCGGTGCATAAAACCCCGGGGACAGGTAGGGGTAGAGGTAGGGGTAGGGTTAGGGGTTTGGTCAGAGCTAGGGATAGGTCTCTTCTTTATTGTATTTGTGAGGGTGGCCTCTCGTTACAGAAGTCCTTCCCCCAGGATGTTTTGTTTCAAATGGTCGCTTTTATGCTGTTTTGAGAACATATAAGGTAACGTTTTTGCCCCTGCCTTGTTCAGTTTCATTAAAAGTCAGGGAGAGTTTTCTCTATTACCAAACACATATACACACCTATGAAACCAAACTTTTCTGATGGGCTGATGGGTAGGGCAATGCCCACTTTTGGTGTAGGTCAAGATTTCTGTGAACCCCCGAAATCTGGGTTAGCCCGCTTGTCCGACCAAGCGACCAATTAAGCGATAATGTTAACGCCCATGGCCAAACTCAAGAAACATTTACTGTTTGCAATTTCGAATCGAACTGAGGTGTTTTCGTCAATTGTAAATGAAATGTTTTACGTCCCCATCAAAACAATTTTAGATCAGTTAGGAAGCGGGCTTTGACACTGCCTGTCTGGGCCAACTTAGGCAGAGGGGGATACAACCATACAACATCCCAGAAGGCCGAGACACTGGATAACAATTGTGGGTGGCTGGCGGGTGCTCTGGCGTGGTTTGCTCCTTCTTTCTTATCAAACACCTATCGTCCTTGTTTCTCCTCCTTTTTTTGTGTACATTATTCTCTTGAATCACATCTATTCTTCGGCCCTTATATGACCTTATTGTGTTGCAAGTGCCGTAAAACTTTTACTAATACTTTTAAAAAAGATAAAATTCTTCCCACAGGAGAATCGAACTCGGGTCTTCTGCGTGCGACGGCGAAGCGCCTAACCGCTACACCACAGACGCCGGTATAGGACCATGAAGGCTACAAAAGTGCTGATTTCTTGAAACTTTTAAAAATGGTTGAACAGTCGTCAATCGTGAAGCATTGTGGTGAAATCAGGCGCTCGTCAAAATGATGAAATCAAAGAAACGGGCATTTTGGCAATTTTTTATCGAATTTTTGTTTTTTGGCTCAAGACCTTCAATGTCCATGCAAAACACAATTCTGAGTGAACAGCCTAACAGAAAAATGTTGATTAATTAAAGGCACAAAATATAATATTTAGTTTTTTCCGTTTTCAACGAATCTCAAGCTATTGAAGTTACCGAACCATGGCTGCCATTTTCTCGGTAATTTTACTACTGAAACTAGGTGACCCCCACCTCCTTCGATCTCAAATATCTCGACTTCTATTCAAGATAACGAATACTTTTTTTCTTGAGAGTATTGCAAATGAATACGCTTTTAGACAATACCAATAACGCCACATGATCAAAAATGTACAAGCGCCTGATTCTACCGCGTCGTAACACAATTATTTTCAAGAAAATTTCAGACCTAATTGCAAAATGTCAAATTATGGGTTACAAAACTTGGTCCTGAGGCACAAAACATTTCGATTTATCCGTACGTCGTGTTTTACTATCGTATCCATACGACGTGGGGAACTCTGAGCCACCACTTTCCAAAGAGGAAATTTACTCGTTAATC